CTGGGGAATTCTGGGAGTTGAAGTCCACTCATCTTAAAGTGGCCAAGTTTGGACAACACTGTTCTATGCAAATGTAGTTTCTGAATACCTGTAGTCTGTCAATATATGGGATCCATTCTGAATGGTTGGCATAATCTATCAATTTATTATCTTTATTTTAAGCAACATTTTCACATGAATTTTACTGAAGGTAATGGGATTATAAAGAATTGGTTCAAAACTTAGGGAGCTTTTTTAATACTATAAACTACTTTCTTTCCATTAATATGATTCCATACTGTATTGTAATATCCAGTAAATTCCCCATCTGAGGAAATCTGAATGTAAATAGTCCCTTGATGTGCACTTTGTACTCCATCCAGTTCTGTTGCATTCCAACAATTTTCTAGCGTTTTTACAACATGGAACAAGAGTGATGCCAGTTCACTGGATGTAAATCTTTTTCACATTTTTGGAAGAAAAGTAAATTGGCTGCAATTTCTCTCATTTTTTAAAAATGACAAATGCAATGCTTACTTATTGTAACCCAACACACACACATTTTTTCCTTCCTAAATCCAGAATAAATGCTGTGGTGTGACTGGCCCAACAGACTGGCAAATATATACCTCCGTTTTTCGGACAGTGAACAATGATGCGGATTTTCCCTGGCCACGACAGTGCTGTGTTATGGATATCCAAGGAAAGGCAATCAGCTTGGATGGCTGCAAATTAGGGGTGTCTGGCTATTACCATGACAGTGTAAGAATTTCTTCTTATTTTTGTTCTGTAGTAATCAAAACACTCATTGACATTTGTCTTCTCTGAAATGTTAGTGGGGTGCTGATGCTAGTAATATTTTCTCCCAGCATTGATAGGCTGAAGTGTTCCCCTTCTCTTTTGTTCCCTCTTTTACACCCCCCTTTCTGGTAAGTAGCATATCACAGAGGATCAGCTCTTCCATAAGGTAAAATGAAGCAGCTGTGTTAAGCAGCTGCCAACCAAAACAAGTCAACCTCCAACTTTCTGTCTTCCAACCCATCACCAAGAACAGCTGCTTTGTTGTGGCTAAGATGTGAAACTCTCCAGTGTGGCCTACTACTGCTAGCTACCCTACAGCCATTATTCTAAGGGAATCCTCAGAAGCATTCAGAGATGGCAGTTGCAGCCATCTTGCAACATATGACTCTGAGGATACCAGTCACCTGTCAACTGGAGGGAAAGTAGTGGGACCACTGCTTTTGGAAAAGAAGTGTGGAGAAGGAAGTGAGAATAAAAATAGAGCAGAGGGTAGGTTTTCTGAGACTGCTACTGTTTATAAAACTTAAGGATTTACTCTTGATTATATTTATATGCATTCAACAGGCTGAAATACTGTTGATGGATATAATGCTGTTTCTTCATTACTCTGCTAGATCTACTGGCCTAGCCTAGGATGTTATCTGTTTTAAATGTGAGATGAATGAAGTACTGTGCTCACCTTGAAAACTAACACATTGATTATGGCATAACTTTAGTAGATTTGAACCCATTACTGTATACCTGATTGTGTTCACTTTGTCAGTTCTTTAAAGTAAGATTCCTCCATTTCAATCTTGATAATCACATCAGTGGTCTCAGTAGCTTTTAATCCTAGCAGTACAGCCATTTGAGTGGGAATTTGTTGTGAAAAGATGGGTGCTGAAAATCTAATTGAATTTTAGATAATCTACCTTGGTTATTGTTCATTTCCCTTGATATTTGATATCCTTTTTTTTTACTCACAAGTATTTGTATACTTCCTATTCTCATGATTCCCAAATGTTGGTTCTTTTTGGCTCATTTATGTATCAGTTTGCAAATTTGACTGGTAAAAAAATTCTGTGTAAGAATTCATAAACATTTTTGTACAAATTTCAATCTAAAATGCACACTGTTGTATGGACTTTTATTAAGGCGTACATCGTTTGCAAACAGTTTCCCTGAATACATATTTTTACCCTCCCCTAATATATACATTTTTGTGCACATATTTACAGTTGCAAGCCATATTGCACAATTCTGGAAACTGCCAGTATTGATGCGTAAGTTCATTCTAGTTTCAGATGGATCAGGCAGGTGCAAATTGGACAATGCACATTAAATCTGGACTGTATTACTTTTATATCCATCTTTGTTTTGAATGAAGGCTTAGAAGGTACTGAGCAACTTTATCTATTTACCTGCAGCTGATCATCTCCCTCTTATTTTCTGATTCCTCAGGGCTGCTATGAAACTATTGCTGGCCCCATGAACAGACACGCCTGGGGCGTTGCTTGGTTTGGGTTTGCCATTCTGTGCTGGACTGTAAGTATCTGACAGAACTTCTTTGCTGGGCTTCAGGGTTTAGTGACCGTGGTCTAGAGATTAGATTTCCTGCCATTTCGCTGGCAACTGTGGCTGGCATCTTCAGAAGCAAAGTGGCCTGCTACACGTCCACAGGCAACTGAGCAGGGACTGACTGAACCTCATTTATTCAACAGTGGTGATGGTGGAGGCGTACTATCATTCAGTGGAAACACCAAAAGTGTTTCCTTCTGTCTGCAGCTCTTCCAGCTTAGATAATTTATACCACAGCTGGGTTATGAGTTTAAGCTTCTTTAAGAGGTTCTCAAGAAATTAAATGCAGCTATTCAGAGATTCAGAGCAAAGGGCCACCACAAAAGCTAAAACTGATTTAGCAAAGAAAGAAAACGGATTTTTGTTATATCACAGCAAGAAGTTATAGATATATGAAAATGGGGCAGGAGCACTCCTACCCCATTTTCACATATCTGTAACTTCTTGCTGTGATGTAACTCCTACCCCATTTTCACATATCTATAGCTTCTTGCTGTGATGTAACAAAAATCCGTTTTTCTTTCTTTGCTAAATCAGTTTTAGCTTTTGTGGTGGCCCTTTGCTCTGAATCTCTGAATAGCTGCATTTAATTTCTTGAGAACCTCTTAAGGAAGCTTAAACTGCCTAGAGCTAAGTCTTTGTATAAAGCCGATTAAGATTATGTGATAATACTGTGTTGAAGGTAACATTTTATGTATATGGTACTATCTTGTTTATCTAGTTTAGATTTGTTGAAATATATAGACTGCATTAAACCTTTAATTATATAAAACATCCTTATTGAAATAGCTTTCTCATAGGCAACAATTGCCCTGGACCCACTTCAGTATGGTGCTAAAACTACTACAGTCACTTTGGTGGCTGATTTATGTTATGGATTGGGAATATGAGGCCCTGCTAGTTCTTCTGGACTTCTTGGCTGTATTCTTCTGTACAGCCTGAGGGGATCAGGCCTTGGAGTGCTGTTTTACCATGATTCTAGTTGTTCCTGTTAGGCTATATACAGAAGTGGTGCTGGAGGACTGGCATTCAACACCTAGGCTATTGAGCTATGGATTCTACCTTATTCTCCATGCTGTCTGGTTCTCCATGACATCTACTTGAAATCATTTGGAGAGCTCATCAGACTTTTGGAGTAGTGTCATCAGTGAGGTTATCATTCAGCTGCAAGAGAAAAATCAGTACCTTTGCACTTTGCATTCCATAAATGGGCTGGAGGAGGGGAAACAACTGGACATAATAGAGATGCTGATGCTCAGTAGGAAATTAGATTGGGGGATTGAGGCTCAATTTGTTTACTTCCTAAAAGAGCAAATTTGCAGTCTGAAAGTGCTTCTAGATTTTCAAGCCACAGATGATGGCTCTGGAGAAGAGTGGCTTTGCACACAATTACTCCTGGTGTAGCAGCTGCTACCTTTCCCAAGTAATCCTTTCACTATAGTTATCTATGGTTTGGATACATCCCACATGAGACCCGCAATAGTTTCTACGTGGGGCTTTATATTCATTAGCTGCCAGTTGCTCGATGGGCACAGTTTAAAGTATTGATATGCTGCTTTAAATTCATCAGTGGCTTAGGATGACCAACTAAAAGACTGACTTTCCCCTTAGGAATCTGTGCAGGGGAGGCTCTTTGGACGATACTCCTACTTTTTATATATACATTTTTGGTTAAAATGGTGAAATACAAAAAAAGGAGTCTACATTAAATAGTGATTATACAGCAAAGAAAATCATAAATGTGTTATAGAAATTAAAATTAACTGAATATAACAAAACCCTAATTAACAGAAAGATCCTCATAATAAGTAAAATATTAATAATATTTATTCTATTGTTAACCTTATCATTAAATTTAGACCATATAGCAACATATTTTGTCATCTTCTCATTTTTAGAACACAGGGACTTTGCAAAACTACGTAACAAACTCATATCCTGGATCCAGTTTCTTAAAAATCAAGAGAGAGTGACTTTCTTTCCAATAACATAGAATTATCCTCTTTGCTGTGCTCCAGGCTCAGGAGAGCCAAAGCTCTTCATAAGATGACAAATTCCATGTTTTAGGAATATAATACAATATCTCATTAAGATCAGAAACTATAATATTTTTCCAAAATTATATTATTGTATTATTGATTTTAAACCAAAAAAAAGCTTTAATATAATAGTACTAAATCATGTGAGTTAAAGAAACTTCAGGTTTCTTACATTGCCAGTGTAAGAAATCTAATATCTATCCTTTTTAAAACATTATTTGAGGGGTCCAATAAACTGTAATAACATTTACTGATGAATTAATTTCATTTTTAACTCTTAAGAAGAGTATTTCACATTTTTAACCCCTAGACCCATTGATTTTCCAAAACTAGAGGCTCCAATTCTTCCTTTCACAGATCAGATATTAAACTGATACTAACTTTCATTTTGTATTTTAATACCTTATAAATAGAAGAATAAGGGCAGCATCTCTTTTAAAAACTCAAATTACAAGTATCTCAGAGGTGTCTAACAGGCCATATTGTTTAGTTAATACATGTTTTAGTTGTATATGTTGCCAAGCATATTTATTTATTTGTACAATTTATATAGCCACCTATCTCACACAAATGGCTGGGTAGCTATATATACTAGAGGTAAGTCAAACTCAAAATGCAATATCTCAAAATCATTAAAAGGACCATTTAAAAATCAATTGGTTTAAAGTATTAATCCCTTGTTTAACCCAAGTATTCCAACAGTACACCTTCCCCATACTACAGCATCAATTTCTCATGTGATCCAGAATCAAAATGTAACTGCTTTTACCTATTAATAACCAAATATGCCTAGCAGCTTTCAAAGCAAGAAACAAAGATCTCAGTTCATGTATCTGGACCCTAAAACTTGCTAAGATTTCAAAGGTATCACACACTTGCTCTCCAAATGGGCCCAAAGAGGAAAGTAATTGTAATAAGTCTCATTCTAAAACAATATAGAAGATGTTAAAATAAAAGGCCTAATGATACAGTTGAAAATCTGGTAGGTTAAAGCTGCCATCCTCATAAGGTAGCTGCAATTTAGCCAGAGATATTCTCAAGGTTTTAGCCTACTATAAAAAGTTCCTCATTAACTCATCTATCTGTGTGCAATATCTAATAGGAATTAAGATACTCCTCCTAACAGAGGCCCATCTTTTCTGGCACATAGGAGAGTACCTTTCCTTTGTTGCTCATAGGCTATGGAATACATTACCTTGGGAATTGAATTTTGCCCCCACTCTCATTAATTAGAAGAGTTTCAAGTGTTCAACTGTTACATGACTCTATTGTACATTTTAGTGTTAATTTTAAACTGTATTTTTAACCTTTTATTTTTTGTTCTTTTATCTTTACATTTTGTTATCCATTTTGTATGGAAAGATTTAGTGCTATTAGTAAATGACTTTTTTCTCATTCCTAATGAAAACAGCATATAGGTTCATACCTTTCCTCCTTATCCTTTTTTGTTGCCTTAAATTTTGTTCATAAATGACTTCTACCGGAGAGCCTCTTGCTTATATCACTGAGTCTAATGGTAATATCTAATTAAAGTTGCTTGGGTTTTAGCAAACCACCTAGAAAGATTACAGCTTAATTCAGGGAAAAAACAGTCTCCAGTGTTTTGGGATTAAACTCGCAGATTTAAAGTTGTGAGCCAGCTAAGGTCAGATTAGCCTTTCATAACTGGGAAAACTTGTTTGTAATATATGACTTGTTTGTGCTGTCCTTCTTGGACATTTGCAATGGCTACCTGTGTTTACAGAGTCCCTTAACCAGTATAACAAGCTTCAGTTTAAATATGAAATGACCTCTAGGAAGGCAATAAAAAGAATGTGAATAAATGCAGGAAGACTGGTTATCAGCAAATCAGAGGCATGTGGACAAACTTGATAGGAACACCTAAACGATAGGTGTAGTAAAATATTTAGGATGTTCAAATAGTATTGGATTTGGACTAGGGATAGGCAGACTGAACAGGAATCTGAACCCCAAAGTTCATTAATAGCTTCAGGCAAGCTGGACAGGCTCTCTCTCTCTCATCTTAACTAATACTACAGCAGAACAATGGGGAATGGGAAGGGAAGGGACAGAAGTAGAAGCTTCTGTCCCTTCCCTTCCCACTCCCCATTGCTATTTTCCCAAACCTTATTCTAGAAGAAATCGGACACAGGTGTTACTTAAAACTGGACCCAAAATCCTCTTTCCCAGCCCCTCACTTTCACAACGTGCCTGAATGCGTTGGATTAGTTGTGATGGCTCATCTTGGGCTATCACAAATGATCAGTTCAGGCTTTTAATAAGAGTATGTGTTCTCTATCTAGCACAGGACCTTTAAAAGACTCTGAGAGGCCCAGGGCAGAATCTGGACAATCCCCACCCTACTTTTTTCTTACTTTTCTTGCATATGATTTCAGTGTAATGTTTTGGTCATTGTTTTCTGCCCATTGAGGTCAATAGTTAAGTAATCATGACAGTATGGGGAATCCTGAAATACTGAAATAATCCTCACTTTTACATATAAACAGATTTGTTTTTCTGCCTTGATTAAAATATTGGTTTATATATGTCAGCTAATAAATCAGTGCTTTTCAAACTTGGCAACTTTAAGATGTGTGGATTTCAACTCCCAGAATTCCCCAGAATTTCTGCTGACAGAAATGCATGCTGCTGGAGAATTCTGGGAGTTGAAATCCACACATCTTAAAGTTGCCAAGTTTGAAAAGCACTGATTTATTAGCTGACATATATAAACCAATATTTTAATCAAGGCAGAAAAACAAATCTGTTTATGTGTAAAAGTGAGGATTATTTCAGTATTTC